CACGACGGGAGTGCCGACAATGTGCCAGAAAACAAAATACTATTTATTATCCATATACATAACATATTGAAAAAAAGATATATACTATGCATATATAAATATATATATATATATACACACACATATATTATATATAAACAAATTTATCTGTAGACAGACCGGACGAAGCTCCCACAGATTCTGGAGGCGATGTAAATAAGTCTCTCGATTGTTCCCGCGTGTTCAAGAGTTTGTTAGAAATACTTCTACAGAATATTTCAACGTTATAAACTTGATCCTCGAATTCATGATTTAAACTTAAAGTTCAATAGTGCATTCTTGTTTCAAGATCTTAAGATAATGTCTTAAGATACAAAAATATAGTTCTCTGATTGGTTTATAAAATCTTAAATATAAGAACTAACCATCGGCCTTAAAGTCGATTTTTTTGTTTCAACACAGAAATATAAATAGTCTTTATAATTGGAAACGAGTCATCAATTTTGAAATATAGATCAAACGATCTTATTCTTTCTTTGTAATTTGGTGATTTTATTCAATAAGATCTTTGAACAGGAATTAATAGAAATTTTCAATTTCGATCTAAAAAAATATATTTTGAAATATATTTCGAAATTTATAATTAAAACCTAAAAGTCTTGATGATCAAAGTTTTATTAAGATTAAGAGAATTCGCTTAGAAGAATTTTCTCGCTTAAAAGAATTCGTAGGTAAAGTTTGTCGAATGTTATATGTGGAAACATTCTGTGTGTGTTTCCGCCGTGAGATACATGTAATCTTGTAGCGCTCTACTTCGTTGTAATTGAATCATTACTAACGTGATCTAATCATGCATAGTGATCTTTATTAGTTGTTGACTATAGTAATTGTTATTGCATATGGCAAAGCTATAAATTCTATGATTCGATGGATACTAGGAAGAGGAATCCGAATTGTTACGAGATAAGTGGAACCTCGGATGTTTAGCCGAATGTTCGATTACGAATGCGATATTCGTCGCCTTTGCGGGACAACAATAATATCCGTTTGCAAATAATCGAGCATTCAGAGTTATTGATAATAAATGCGCCTCTTCCTTTCTCTCTGTGGGATCCTCGTCATTTTCTTGTCTGGTAGGAAGAAAAAAAAGAAAATATTCTTCTATGTGCCGTACTTATCGATAATAATGTTTATACTCGTGTCAGTGTCAGTCCTCTCTTGGACGTTTAACAATTGCGGCGCGAATTATCCATTACGGATCTCTCTCGCATTTTCGCTCTTCTCAGATTTATTCTGTATCGCGAGAGGTTGATGTTCGATCGTTAATTAATCCTTAAACACTGGTGCGTACTTTCGTTAACGAAGGATGTATTCAATTATCACACTAAAGTTATCGTACATATATATAAAAAAATATTTTGTTCATCTCATTCCTTTACATTCGTATTTAACATATCTATTGATAATCAAAAGTAAAATTTAATTTGTAAAAAGAAAATTAATATTATTTGATTAATAATTGTTAGACATGTTGTCTACAAATTTTAAAAATTTTTTTAAAAATTTGTTTGTCTCTGTCGTATATGTAAAAATTTATTATTATTTCATGGATATATACAAACACATGGAATTTTCGTAAAAACGTCAGTGCTTAAGGATCATGAATGTGTACGTGTAGCATTATTCAGACTTTTTTATCATTAATGTTCTTAGACCACGAAACGCCTTTCGGAATTAACGCGACTGATTTAGCAATTAATTTGGCAGTTACTCGCGTTTCTTCCGTTAATTATCCCTATTGAAGGAGTGAACTTGTACCTTTCGTAGGAATGACTTTCCCGCGACGATTGTTAGTCGAGCATGATATTGCCGATCGACGGGCGAGATAAAACACGTTTGTACGTCACGCCGATAAAGGGAAAGCGATAAGAGCAAGAGTCGTGGCGGAAAGGAACAAAAGGAACCTAGGACTGAAAATAGGTAGCACAAATAAAATACGTTATTCGTATAATATATATATATATATATATATATATATATATATAATATGTACGTTGCGTTTATATACATATTGAGCGCATTGTTATAATCCAAACCGGTGTGAATGCAAGACTATTACGGCGTGCTAGATGTTCTGCGCTTTTTTTTCACAAATCTCGTGCCTCAATTCTGGTGTGATATATATATCAATTTCTAATTAACATAATTTTAATCTCTGTATAATTGCTTTCTCTAATTAACTGTATGATTAAGCATTGTATGCCAAAGCATTTAATTTTGTTAATTAAGAAATGAAGATATTGATTTTTGTTGTCATCACAGATCTGGAAGTCTGACAATTAAAAATCTTAAATCAAAATACCAATATAGGCGAAAAAGAGACACCGAAGGTCTGGCACTGAGGCGGTAATTCATTGTTGTTATTAAGTTAATGTCTATATTTGTATCTTCGTTCTTCGTCAGTGTTGCGCATCATAAGGTTTTACGGTAAGACTGTAACCGTGTATCGATCAAAGAAGCCGCTATTTTGATTTCCGCGTCAGAAGAATGTTAGGAATTATTCGTACCTAGTCAGACCTGATAGCAATGTTAGTGCTCCTCGCCTTCATTATCGACAGTTTCCATCTTTTGCGTTACATTTTGCACACTTCTATTGATGTCACCAACGACGAGACTTGAACTTCCAATCGGTTTCCGAAGATTTTTCGGAAATCTCTTCTCTTTTTATTTATAGATTCTCGCGCGGTCAGTTTCCCTGCCGTTCGCTCGTTATTCCCACTTTGTTGTTGCATTTAATTTTGTAGACGCGCGATAGAATGTATTGGACTGATCGAGAAATTCATCCGATTTTTCTCCTCGATGATTTCTATGTACTACTAAAAGAGAACGGACGAGCGCTTTCTTGGTCAATTTAATAATTACTTTAGAATATTTCAGAAGGGCGGGATAAAGTACGTGTTGGCTGACGGAGAAGTTTCCACTTTCATGGACCACGAATACACATATTATACTCTTTTCTACTACTCTAAAACTAAACAGACTGACTACTTTTTGGATACCTATTACATGTTTAACGGCGTTTCCGACCGGAGCGGATTTGATTCGCTCAGGTTTTCTGTATTCGAACGTGAATTTGGATCTGATCTTGACTTATCTTAATGTGAGAGGCTCTGTCCTTCAAAATAATTAGTTTTGTATAATTATCTCGCGGTAACTTTGGATTGAATTCCCAGAGGAATACGGATCGAACGAGCCGAGTCCGTCCCGCTCGGAAACGCCATAAACCACGCTATCGTTATTGATCAGAATGAATTGCGAATCTAAGATTGAACATGTGACTGAAACTCCGTGTTGTACCCATGAGTGTATATACAATAAGCGACTAATTATGTAAGCACGTTGAGAAAGCAATCGAGTGGTCGTACCATTTTACTTGCGATACGCTATGCGTTTTTATTCTTTCTGTCTTTCAGCGTGAACGAATTTCAAGGCGAACCGAACTTGTTCGTTTCTTTTTGTGCCAGAGTGTATTTTTTTTTTCTTCTTTTTCGATAATTCGACGATTGCGTTAATCGTTGCGTTTCGCGATATTTATCTGGAGAACGATTTGTCTCTATGAACGGTACAACCACTTCGTTAGCGTTAATTATGGTTGTCATGTATGAATAATTTATAGTTTGTAACGGTGATCGATGTACAAACAGATACTCACGTTCTACCGAACGTCGTCTTCTGATATACAATTACTATTGCATTTTGAATATGTTAGTGGAAGATGTCTGACCTTTAACGAGAAGTCCTAGTTGGTTGTGCAGCAATAAATAAATTAATATTTACGTACAAGCTGTCTGAAGAGTTTATAGCATTTTGCAGTTTGGATTTCGCGCATCTCTCTACTAATTCTACGTCAGGAAACATCAACGTGACGTCCTGATCGTTCCATAAAAAATAGGTTGAAAGGAATTCCTCCTTATCGAATCATTTGTAAATAACGTCGCATTCCGTCACAAAAAATTCAAGTTTTGAGAAACCAAATTCTTTAATATTCAAATTACGTAAAGAGATACAATTCCTTTACAAAGATAGAATCTAATTTCCGCGAAATATGCGATTTTTCGAGTCGTCAATAAATTTGTAGAAAGGTAAGAAAATCCGTGAAATACGATTTTAAAGTCGACTACGGTATTCAATTCCATTCTTAGAAAGAATTACATCTACATAAGAAAAAATAATATATAACTTATGTATACAAGATTGAATATGGTTTTTTTTTCTCTTTTTTTATTTTCGATCATGTCCACTTTGGACCACCATCATATTATCAAAACGAGATTATGAAGATTATGGCGAAACATGAATAAAATGTTGATTGATTTTTTAGGTATGTAAAAAAGTAGAGATTAGACTCCTTGCACGTAAGCGGCCTCACGCACCAATCAACAAGTGCATCGGATTCTCCACATAGTGCTTCCATAGATTGGAGAACTTGGCCACCGTGACACCGTCGATGACGCGGTGATCCGCAGACCAACTGACTGACATTATGCTGGCTGGAACTACATTCCCCTTATCGTCGAATCGTGGTATCTTCTGTGCCTTTCCGAACGCGCCAATTATCACCTGCGGTGGCAGGATCACCGGTTTCGTGTACGTTCCACCAATCTGAAAGTCAACAATTCATCAAGGGATGAAGATCAGTACTCGGTGATCGGTATCAATAGAAAAATATCCAAAGGAAGAAAGGAATTTTAAGAATCGATCAAAATTTAGCATTAGAGATTATGTTTAACGCTGCAGATATGATTTATATTAATTTCACACGATTCGATTAATTTTTGTCTCTCGATAGTACTCACGACGCCTATGTTGGATAACGAAAAAGTCGTGTCAGTTAAATCGGCGAGTGGAATCGACGATTTCCTGCCGAGCTCCTGAAGCCTGTTGAGCTCCTGCGCGATTGCGAAAACACTGAGATTCTGCACGTTTTTGATATTCGGTACCACCAGGCCCTCTGGCGTGTCCATGGCGATGCCGATGTTGTGATTATCCAGCATCTGCAGCGTTTGATTCTCCTCGTTGAGCCAGGCGTTCAATTCGGGACACTGCTCTAACGCCTGCGATGCCGCCTTCACGAAGAATGGCAAAAGGGTCAGAGAGACGCCTCGGTCCTTCAAGGAAGCCTTCACCTCGTTTCGGCAGCGCATCACCTGGTTCACATTGCACTCGTCACTGTAGACGAAGTGCGGAATACTCTGCGAGAAATTCATAGTAATAGATAAAAGCTTTCTGGTCTCTATTTGATGTAAGAAATAAAAAAAGAAGATCCGATAAAAATAGGAATTGTAGAGAAATCGGGATCGTAAAAAATTAAGTTAGGAAAATTAGAAATAAGAATTGAATTAGAAGGGAAAAGTGTTATAAATAAAATTTAATTTTTCTCTTTGCTAAGAGAAATAGTATATAACTTTTTAAACCTCGCGAAAAAAAGGCGTAAAAAAAGTCTTGCGAATAAAACTAATTAAAATCATTCTCTTTTAAATCTTTCACTTCTAATGAACTTTTCTTCGCTAAAGGAAAGAATATTAGTGAATACTGAATAGTGACATTCCGTGAAATCCCCAAAACTCAAACAAGCATTGTTACAATGAATTATCAAATGTTGATATAGAAAAAAAAATAGTATTTAAATGTAATAATCAAAATCAAGTGTAATGATAAATCCCAAGGTGATCGTGTAATGTTTTTAAAAAAATTTACTCGCTATCAAAAGAAAAAGCTGTTTTCTGGCGATTCGACAACTCACCAGGGATTTTGTCATAGTTTTCCACATGTGTTTCGAGTATCCCTTGAGACCGACTGTCTTCCCCGTCACACTTGTACGCGATGGGGCTTCCGCCTTGATTTCTGGAATTGCGGAAATTTTCTGCAGATGCGCCAGTATGTCTTCTTTTAGTACTCTTCCTCCCTTGCCGGTCGCTGTTACGTCTTTTAGTCTCACGTCATTCTCCATGGCTATCCTCCTCACCGCCGGGGTCGCCAATACTCTCTCTGGAGCAATGTTTTCTGATTCCACCCCCCCATCCATTTTTCTTTGTCTATCTGATATATCCTCGCTCTCGATGTTCTTTTTGATTTCCCCCGCGTCATCCCTTGCGACGTCCTTCGACTCGTCCTCTATCTCGATATCCAATAATGCGGACCCGACTATCGCGACGTCATCCACTTTGTAATGCAGTGTCTTGACGATGCCGTCATATCGACTCGTGATCGTCACTGATGCTTTGTCGCTCTGCACCTCGCAGATGTTGTCAAACTGGCTCACCCGATCGCCTGGTTTCACGAACCTGACATGTTTCAAAATAAAGAGATAAATATATCGGATATCACTATTAAACATAAAAAATACTGAATTAATTTAGATATTTAGAAATCAAAATTAAAAAACAAATAATTCAAATATTCAAAAACGAATAATAATAATTTCCGGCATGTTCCTTTTCTTTTAAGGGATTGTTTCGTTCAAAGACTCAAGAGAGTCTTGTGCACGCTCGCGTTTCGGATGAAATATAAGTTTTCTTCATATAAATGCATCTCTCATGTGTGTAAAAATAAATACATTTTTTTAATATTTTTCACATACCATTCCTTCACCGTGACATCCCGAATTCCTTCACCAATGTCCGACAGTTGGAAGGGCATTATTTTGCCGAAGCGAAATGAGCTGGTAGACAAAAATCGGCATATTGGATGGCGTGCGCTTTCGGCCTGTGCAAATAAAAATGTTGTAAGTTGAAAATAAGAAAATTACGGCCGATATAAATAAGATACAAACGATCTCCACAAAAGAAAGGCAAAGTGATAACGAAATATAACTCTTAAAAATGTAAAAGAAAGCGAAGAATTGAGGATTAGAAATGAAGATTAGAGATTATGTATAATTAATTGAGTACAGTGTATATTCAATAATATATTGATTTATGATTAAAATTGACATATCGATTTTAATCACAAATCAATATATTATCGATTTTATTCGAAGGTAGTACGTTTACTGTTTTATTTTTAGCATTTTCCATTTTGTTTAATTGACATATTGCATTACTACAACAAGCTATTCCATTTCGATTATATTATATCGGTCTAGTGTTTCCTCTAATAACATACATAAATTCTGAGAATAATTCAAGGGATATCGCAAATGTAGATTACATATATTTCCTTCTTATTTAAGATATATATTATATAAAAAATGAACTGTGTATGTCTTTTTTTCTTTTCCTTAATACGTGTCTATATTCCAATATATAATAAACATATTTGAGAAATATATGTATACATGTCTACATTTAGTTAATATTCTTTTTTTTAATGATATTGAATATAAACATATTTTCAATACAGTTTTTATACATATCTCGAATAAGAAGGGAATATAATCTATCTTTGCGATTCTCTGAACATTCTCAGAATCTGCATGTGCATTTATAATTAATAAAAAGTTAGAGGACTCTCGAAAGTCTCGAAAATAATATAATAGGCCAATAAAAATCATGTGTTATAATTAATACACAGAGTTTACATAAAAGCTATATTTAATTTAAAAAAAAAAAAAAAAAAAAAACTACAGTAGAGTCC